TGTTTTTCCCTATCTCCTTCCTTTTTCCTTCCTTTCATCCTTCCTTCTTTCCTTCTTTTTAAAATTTTTAAATGAAAGATTATATGCATTCAAAGTAGACAATGCCATATTTTTATGTAGGTGTACATAATGAATGGAAAAAATACTTCCATGGAGCTAATAAATATTCCATCTCTTCACATAGTCACTTTTTTTTGTGTGTGTGTGGTGAAAACAATATTCATAGTCATAGCAAATTTCAAGCATGCAGTACCTTGTTATTATCCTGAATGCCCATGTTACATGCTGATCTACATAGCTTGTTCACCCTTCCTAACTGAAACTGCACACTTTGACCAACAGCTCCCATTTTCCTCACTCTCCACCCCTTGTTAATGACTATTCTCTGTGACTATGAATCTGAATTTTAAAAATTCTATACAAAGAGTGTGTCTGTCTGTGCAATAGTTTTTTCCCTGCAGGACTTATTTCACCCTGCATAATATCATTTTCTTAGTTTGGGCTCTGTAAGTGCTTTTAGTCCTTTCCATATTCACTCTACTCCCAATGCTGAAATAGGGCTTTCATAATCCCCTCTCCTGGGAAATTGGGCATAGGGCCTAGGCTCCAGGTGCCTAATAAGGGCACTGACTGCTCTGAGTAGTTGTGTGGGAAGGGATATAGGGGAACATACAATACTGTTACATCCTACAGGCAAACGCAGCAGCAGTACAGCCTTCTGAAGTTGGTAAGTCTCAAGGTGGGAACAGGAAAATCAAGAAGAAAACAATGAAAAGTAAAGGAGAATGCTGGAGCCTGATGTAGAAAAGAGGTAGAACTCCTTCAATAGGATCTGCTATAGTGGATACTAAGTCTGCTAAGGTGCTTAGATCCTAGCATAAGGAGCACTGACCCTAGATTGTGTTTTCCCTCAGCACCAAGACTGAGTCTCCTGTAACTTGCAGACTCAAAATGTCCATAGGCTGAGACTTTTTATAGACTTTTTAGAAACTTTAAGATACTATATTTCTACTAAGAATTCTCTACTAAGATGTGAAATGATCTCTGAAGAAAATACTTTCACTAGTTAAAGATAGTGAAGAAGAATGGAGAGGCTTTGGCTAAGGACTAGAGGATGGTCTGATAGTTTTCTGAGCTTCTAGCACAGTATTTTATTGTGTACTAAACTGGGAACTCAACTGACATATCTTTGCTTTACAAACATGTATTTCCACACTGAGTTTAGAAAACCAAATCTTTGGAAGACTCCTAAGATAAAACAGGTCTTTGGGGATAGCATTAAACCAAAACCAAACAAACCAAAGTAACCAACTACTAATGAACTAACTATAATTTTGGAAAAATTGAAAAGAGAAATGAAAGAATTCACTCCCAGGGTTCTATTCAAGAGTATTTGCTTCTGTGTTATCAACTAACTGATCTTTTTAATGAAACAAAACAAAAGCTGAAAATGTTCAAGTTTCTAGAGAGCAGACTATCTGGAAAGTAACTATTTGCAAAAAAAGAAATTGCCTCCCCCAAATGTACATTAAATCACATGGAAATAATTTCCTCCCATTTTATAGGAAAAGGCATTTCTACTTCAGGAAACTAGACACTTTCTTTCGTTCTGCAACTTGAAAATGAAACTAGACACTTTCTTTCATTCTGCAACTTGAAAATGTTGCTATGGCAGGGGCCTAACATGGCCTCTTATTTTTTCTGTGGGAAACCTAACTTCATACTTTTCATTTCATTTCATCCCATTAACAAAGTACTTAACACAGGCCATAGTTTTTTTTCCCATACAGGTAGTACTCACTTTTGATTGCCAGGATATATATTTTATTTTGTGAAAGAGGAGTAAAAGTAACTACATATGTTCCTGTCAGTGTTTCATCTAAGAGTTTTCACTGATTTTGAATTAATCATCTTCTATCCTCTCTAGGACTTTATTCCACTGAATATTTTTTGTTTCTCCTAAAACTACAATGACCAGCACCACTTGAAACTTGTTAGTCTAAACTTTGGACTTTAATTACATATTTATGTTTTCCCCACATTTGTACTATACCTATACTTCTTTACCTCATTTCTTTTATTTTCTTCCAAAAACAAAAAGTACATTTTCATTTGCAGACTTGAATATACTCTGTTTTTCTAGGCCTATTGTATTTTGAGTGATTATTTGAAAATTCTACCTGGATAATTTGCAAACCTCACATATAATTATTTTCCTAGTCTTAAAAACTCTATTTCCACCACCCTTTTCTAATTTGTCAGAAAAGTTTTCATTCTGTCGTAGAAGTTCAATAATCGAAAGTGATCTCCAACACTTGACTTGAGATTCAAGACCTTATTTGATTCATCATTTTCAGTGTGTTCCACATCACCTTGGTCAGTAACAAGTAGTAAGTGAATGCTTGGGCAATGATTAAGTAACTAACTCTCAAATGCCTTTTCAGATTTATTCTCTACATGCAATTCTCATTGATTTTGATTTTGTAATGTCTCTTGGTATAGAGAAGGGACTGCTAATGAAGGGGCAGACAGGAGTTTGGGGCAAGTTCATAGATACAGAACAACTCCCAGGACACTGTCAATGACTCACCCAGAGAACAGAGCAGAGATCAACCTTTAGGAAGGACCTTCATAGCCCAACTACAGCAGCACCTGTCAAGAAACCAAGGAAAATGAGCTGCAAACAGCCACACTCTTCTGTACTCTACATACAAGTGTATTTCTAGGCTTAAACTCTTGACATTTCTGAAGCCTCCAGATCCCTCTCAAATTTATGCCCAGGCTAACATAATATTTGTCTTGTCTTCTAAGGTTTAAAGTGTGTTTTTTTTTAGAGCTGTTCTCATAGGTCCTGCTATTATTAAAGAAGAATCATAATACCTACAATTTTTTCATATTCCTCAGAGGCCACCAGAACTGGGCATAGTTCTCTGGAAAGGAATAAAATCAATACACTTTTTGAATCTTCACAAATAGAAACAATAACAAATAATTCATTGAATGAATAATGGACACTAAATATTTAAAGTGAAATCCTTTCTGAGGCAGAGAAAACTCTTGTCTTTGAGAAGAGTCAAGAATTATTCTACCTCTAATCCAATACCTCCGTAAAGAATGAAAATAGGACTGGGGATTTAGCTCAGAGGTTCAGCGGCCTGCCTTGCAAGCACAAGGACCCAAGTTCAATCCCTGGTACCCTCCCCCAAAAAAAGAAAAAAGAAAATAAAGAATTGTGAAGTCAGGCCCTGTCCCAGTTGTGTGAAATAGAGGGCTGGGCTTTCCTTGATCTTAAATGGAGTCAGTTAGCGAGTTCTTCAATAGCTGTCCCTTCTCAATATAAAAGCAAGGACAGAAGGAGGAAGGAAGGGAGAAAGAAAGGAAGGAAGGAACAGAGTAGGGTTAGTTAAGTAATTGTGACCATTGAGGTGAGTGTGGTGGCTGAAAAGAATTCTAGCATCAGACTCTGGGTTCACAACTTATTGCTTTTCTAATTGTGATCAAATTCTACTCTCTTCGATCTCTCATTCATTTATCATTGTAAGATTGGGATATCAGTGTAACTACTCTAGTATTTTTAAGACAAGAAATGAGATTAATGGCTATAAAGCATGTGGCATAGTGCCTGGAACAAGACAAATGCTCAGATGAATGCTGCTGCTGATGGTGGTGGTGACGGTGATTTTAAAATTTCATTGAGACAGGTTTGGACCCCAACTTAAAAATGTAACTTGGACAGCTAAGTTCTAGTACGTCTGGGACACACAGTCCTTCACAATAAGGTCATCTGGATTTCCAGCTTGATCCAGAGAGTTTCCATGACATCATCTAGCAACTACTCCACTGCTTTAGTCAGAGAATTCCTCCTCATCTGCTTCCCTAACTTCCAGAGCTGGCAGCACTGGCTGTCCCTGCCCCTCAGCCTCCTCTTCCTCCTGGCCATGGGGGCCAATGTCACCCTCCTGGTCACCATCAGGATGGAGGCCGCTCTGCACGAGCCCATGTACTACCTGCTCAGCCTCCTCTCCCTGCTGGACATCGTGCTCTGCCTCACCGTCATCCCCAAGGTCCTGGCCATCTTCTGGTTTGATCACAAGTCTATCAGCTTCTCTGCCTGCTTCCTGCAGATGTTCATCATGAACAGTTTCCTGACCATGGAGTCCTGCACCTTCATGATCATGGCCTATGATCGCTATGTGGCCATCTGCCACCCTCTACGGTACCCTTCCATCATTACTGGCCAGTTTGTGGCCAAGGCCACTATCTTTGTTATATCCCGGAATGCCCTCTTTTCTCTTCCTGTTCCCATCCTCTCTGCCAGACTAAGATACTGTGCAGGGAATATCATTACAAACTGCATCTGTACCAACTTGTCTGTGTCCAAACTCTCCTGTGATAACATTACGGTCAATAGGCTCTACCAATTTGTGGCAGGTTGGACACTGCTTGGTTCAGACCTCATTTTTATTGTTCTCTCCTATGCTTTTATCTTGAAAGTTGTGCTAAGGATCAAAGTTGAGGGTGCTGTGGTGAAGGCCCTAAGCACATGTGGCTCTCACTTCATCCTCATCCTCTTCTTCAGCACGGTTCTACTGGTTCTGGTCATCACCAACCTGGCCAGGGAAAGAATTCCCCCAGATGTCCCCATCCTGCTCAACATCCTGCACCACCTGATTCCCCCAGCTGTGAACCCCATTGTTTATGGTGTGAGAACCAAGGAGATCAAGCAGGGAATCCAAAATCTGCTAAGGAGATGGTAAGAGGTATCTGGCCAAGTTGGTAGTTGTTTATAAAAAACAGGAAATAGGGAGTTATTTTTACACCGGAGAGGAAATTTAAATTTTATATCCTGTAATGAATTCTGATTGTTCTTTCAACCAATACTCCAGGCAACAATGAAAACAATTATTTGTGAATCTCTGGAAACCTTCATTTCACAGGAAAGTGTGTTCTTTGGTAACCTGTGAAATTTTGCAGTCTAATCCACACCGAGGGTCTTGTCAAGTCTTCAATAAATGGTGCAGAAATGAGGTACATAGAAATGTTTGAACATTAAAGAAATCAACTTTACTTGATGCCCTTAGAGAGATCTGCCTGTTACTGATTTGAAACAAATATGGATTTTTTTTTTCCATCTCTGATTCAGTCTGGCAAAGATCTGCCTGGCTTTTGTGCCATGAAGGAATTGCTGGGACTGGAACATAGATATTAACCCTAGAATTTTCACTCTTGTGGTCTACTGGATACCTCTTCTTTGGCCTTTGGACATATTTGGTGTCCACCTGCTTTTCTAATCCACCTATCCCTGGTTAACATGTTCATTTTGTATCACTTCTCTGGATAGAGCATTTCCCATTCTCTCATTTTACTAAAATTTTCTTACTTCAGACTTTTGTTTGTAAAAGACAATGACAATGTTTTAGCTTCTTGGGGATTTTGGGAGGAGTTATATTGTTCAGAGTGTTACATATTTTTTCTTGATTATCTTAATCTTTTTGTCCCTATAATTTTCACTTTATCTCATTCTACCATATTATACAAAACTTAGTATTTTTTAACCAGTGTTAGGCACCATCCTTGTCCCATCCTGACCTGCCCATCCTAGGTACAAATGAGCTCTCATATTTATTGTTCTTTGTAATTCTTTAAAGTTGTAGCTGGTAAAGCTGTCCACATTTTTTCATCCATGAAATCTCTAGCTTTGTTTGTTTTTGTTTCACAGAAAAGTGTGTGCCACTATTTTGTAATCCAGCTTCATCATGTCACATACTAATGTGATATCTCTGTGATGATTAAATTTTTGTCTATTCTTAAATTATGTTTTGCTTTATATGTGCCAATTTATTTAATCTTCACAAAATATCTTATAAGGAAAGCAGCATCCTAATTTCATATACAAGGAACAGAAAGGTTATGTTACTTGCCCTTATTGATTGTACAGCTAGTAGGTTATGGGACTGGAGTAGATTCTTCTTTTTTTGTTTTTGTTTTTTTTTTCTCAATCTTTTTTTTTTCTTTTTATTGAGTTTATTGGTACAATCTAGGTATACAATACAGTTACATTCATTATTGGGATCCTGTACCTTTACATGATAGGTCTTGATTCTCATTTTCTCCCCTTGTCCTTGCCCTCCCTTCACCCCCTCCTCCCCTCCCCATTTAGAAACACTTTATTTCCATTTTTTCAATTTCTCATATTTTTTCCCTCTCCCTTATTACCTTTCCCCCACCCTTCCCACTTTCCCTACACCTTTAGCCCTTTAGTTCCTATTTCACATTATTAATTATCTCATTAGGATCCTGTGTACTATTGTAGTTTTTCACACCAAAGAAACTATTCGGTATTTCAGTTAAGGAAATCTCTGTATGAACATTAAAAATAGGGAATCCTAAAATAAAACTAAAAAGGAAAGTAAAAGAGAAAAGGCAATGATATAACATTAAAATAATCCTTAATTCTGGAGATGAAAATGGTCCCTGCATATATTTAAATTGCTTCCGCTCTTGTAGTCTCATCTTATTCTTTTTTTCATTATTTGGAGAATACTTTATTAGTTTCTGTAATCAAACCCACATAGATATGACCTTACGTATTTAATACAGTGCATTACCCCTGTACAAATGGAAAAAATAAAAAATATTAACATTTCTAGACCAATATGGTTGTCCGTTTCTGTACAATGCCAATTCAACACAGTAAATTGGGATAACTTTTTCCAAAGTTGAGAGCACCATTAAAGTTTCCCAAAATTCAAGTTTTATATGTATATATATATATGAAGACCCATAATAGCAGTGTGTTATGCATCAGTAGCAGCAACAGCTTTTCCAGGTTCTGCAGTCATCTGAACAAAATCATAGACATTCAGCACATTCCATTAAAACAACAACAACAAAAAAAAACAAGAAAAGAATAATATCCAGAAAACAGCAAAATTCTGTTGCTGTTGTGGTACCTGGCACCATTTTTTATATTAGCATCTTAATCATCATCTGCAGAGAGAACATTCTAGAGTAATATCATTAAATATAGCTCTGATAAAGCATGGTCACTACTATGTATCATAAAGCAGGTAGAAGATATTTTACATTCACAGAGGTATGATACAGTACCATCCTACATCAATAATACTAGAATCAGTTTTGGTTTTAAATTTGCTTTGTCTGTGAATAAGATTGTTACCCCTGTTTTTTTCTGGGCTTCTGTCACATGGGGAATTGTTTTCCATCCTTTCACTTTCAGTCTATGGGCTTCTTTTTGCACTAGGTGTGTTTCTTGTATACAATATATTGTTGGATTTTGCTTCTTATTCCATTTTGCCAGTCTATTTCTCTTGATTGGTAAGTTGAGGCCATTGACATTGCTGGTTATAACTGATATGTACTGACTTATTATTGACATGTTATTGGCCTTTTGTTGACTCTTTTTACTTTTTCACCTTCTCCTTTTAGTTTCTTGCCTTGCCTATTTGATTTGCTCTGTTGGGCCTCATGGTGTTATTGCCTTCATTGTCATTTTCTAGGATCTTGTTCAGAATTGCTTGTAGTGCTGGTTTGGTATTCATGTAGTTTCTCAGGTGTTCTTTGTTGTACAAGTATCTTATTTCCCCCTCCATTTTGAAAGAGAGTTTTGCAGGACGCATCAGTCTAGGTTGGAGGTTGTTCTCTTTTTTTTCTCATATTTTCCCCTTGTCCCCACCCTTTTTCAATACTTGAAATGTCTCATTCCAGGCTCTCCTTGCCCTAAGGGTTTGTGTTGAAAAGTCTGCTGTGATTCTGATGGGCTTTCCTTTGTATGTGATTTGTTTCTTTTCTCTTACTGCTTGTAGTACTTTATTCTTCTGTTGGATTTCTGGGATCTTGATTATTATATGTCTAGGTGCAGACTTTTTTTAAACATGGCTAGTTGGGGTCCTATATGCCTCAGTTATCTGAATGTCAAATTCTTCCCCTCTGTTTAGGAAGTTTTCTGTCATTAATTGTTTGAACAGCTTTTTTAAGTCATTTGTATTTTCTCCTGTTACTTCAGGGATTCCTATCAGTCTTATGTTATTCTTCTTTGCATCATCTAGAAGTTGTTGGATCAATTTCTCATGATCCCCTATTGTTTTTAAGAGACCTCTCTTTTCATAGTCACTGACTGCAATCTTATCTTCTCTATCTGAGAGTCTATCTTCTCATTCTTTTATTCTGTTGCATACACTTTCAATGTAGTGTTTAATCTCCTGGATATCTGTTTGAATCTGTTTTATGGATTCCATTTCTTTCCTATGTTGGGCCTTTATTTTTTCCATTTCCTTCTTATGCTGGGCCTTCATGGCTTCTATCATGGTCGAGCTCATCTATTTTTTTTGTCAGTTTCTGCTCTAGAGTCTCGAATCATCACTTCTATTTTGCTCACTATCTCTATGGTTATCTGGGAAATTATTTCTGTTTTGAATTTTTCTAGAGCCTGATTGATCTGTTTTGTTACTTCCTGTGCTTTGAGTTCAGGGTGTCCTGGTGGTTCACTATTGGTCTTTTCATCCTCATTTGCCCTACTGTTTGCCATTGGTGAACTGGAAGTCTGTCTTTGTGTCTTGCATAAGTGTTTTCTCCTTTTTATTTTTGTTGTCCGGCTGTCCTTGGTTTAATCTTTGGGTTATCACCCACATCTTCCTGATTTAGTTGCGCCCTTGCTTCTGGATCTCTAATAATTCACAGACATTCTCATCTTCATAACATCAGAGAAAACAGCTCATCAAATCAACCACAATCCTTCATTCCAACTGATACCATCAGCAACACATTATGATCAAGGACAGCTTGGAAACTGACCTGTGGTAGTCACTAGCCTATCACCCTTAAACCATTTGAATTATATTGAAATCAAGAAGCAGTCCAGAACATGTCTGCAGTGAACACACTTTTCAATATAGTATATTTACCATTTAATGGCTCAGACAGAACTAGAATGCAAGACCCCTGATCTCAGTTAGCTGATGGCTGAACCCCATGATGCAGACTGACCTCGGGCTGCAAGGCCCAGATTGAGTTCCCCAACCTTCTGAACTGTTGAACTCCACACTGTTCTACTACAGGTTTCCCATGCCCTTTCTTTAAAGATGTTCAAAGTTGTAAACTCAGAAAAATATCCTTTATGACCACCTCTACCTCTGCAGTGGGTCCAAAGACTGGTGCAATCAGGAGGTCTGGGAGTGTGCGTGGGGGTGGGGGTGGGTCATCTACCTTCCTAGTGCTGGAGTGATGGTAGCTCCAGGTGGGAGAGGGCGTGGCTTTCCTTCCCGTGGTGGATCGGTGCCCAGGCTACCTTCCAGAAGCTGGAGGATGGCCTTTACTCATTATTTTTAAAAATTCATTGTCAGATTAATGGGTTTCATTTTGTAGGGTCACACATAACATATTTTGCTTCACTCCTACCACCCTCTCTGCACTGTTCTGTCTTTAGTTGAGTATTTTGGGGGAGGTTTCAATGTGTATAATTTATTTTGCTTATACCACCCCCAGCTTACACCCCACCACAGTTAAGCCTAATTATGTCAGCACGATTGACTTGGGAGCTGATTATGGGATTAGTAAAGGACATTTCTTGGTCTGTCTAGGTGGATCATGGAAGCTTGACCCTAGGCTTTAGACATGGTTCCTGGCCCCTTCCTTTCTGGTGCTGCTCCTTGCCATGCTATTCCAGATCTGTAAACTAAGCAACTTTTCTCCACCCTACCCTTCTGCCATGTTTCTTCCTTAGAGCCAGCCAATCACC